ATGATCCTGCAGCACTTTTTTGTTTGTTGTTTTTTGATGAGACAAGGTCTTACTCTGTTGCCCAGGCTGTAGTACAGTGGCACCATGTTGGCTCACTGCAGCCTCCCAGGTTCTAGTCAGTCTCCTGCCTCAGCCTCCTGGGTAGCTGGGATTACAGGTGCATGCCACCACACCCAGCTAATTTTTGTGTTTTTAGTAGAGATGGGGTTTTGCCATGTTGGCCAGGCTGATCTCGAACTCCTGACCTCGGGTGATCTGCCCACCTTGGCCTCCCAAAGTGCTGGGATTACAGGAGTGAGCCACCACGCCCGGCCCAGTTGTCACTTTTGTAAGGCGTCATCACAGTGCCCACCTCAAGGGACTCCTATGAGGATTAAATGAAATGATAGCTGTGAAAGTGCTTTGTAAACCTGAAGCTCTGTCCCTGGAATTACAGATTGATGTCCGGAGGACAGATCCAACTGGCAGATACGTAGACACTTGCTGGCCATGTCCTGATGGAGAACATTTGGAATGAGTTTCCTACATTTAAAAATTGGTAGATCACAGAAAATCCCAGATTTGCATCTCCCATGGAAAAATCAGGTCCTATCGCGTGGGGCCTGCATCCTGCGACCTGGCCAGTTGGCCGCAGCTAGAGAACAGCTGGCTCACGCAGGTGGCATATGCCTTTCTCTTCAGTTCTCCTGGGCACCTCTGGGCCCATTAAACCTATTTTTGTTGCCCACTTGGCCTCTTAGGCATTTGTGGAAAGTGCTCTTGCTCTCAACAGATTTTAGTTATTATTCCTTGTAGCATTGCATGTGTTTTGCTGGGGGTTAGTAATGATATGAGACAAAGAACAGATGTAGTTCATGACACCTCACTAAGTACCCTGTGCCTTGCTAACGCCACTCATTAATATTCACTTCCTGGGAGTCCTCCCCACAAGCTCCCCAAGATAGGAATCATTGCATCTTTTTCACAAAGGAAACCTAGAGCCAGAAGGCCCTTGCTGCATACCCGAAGTCACAAAGCTTATAAGCAGCAGAGCTGGGATTCAAACCCAGGGCTGCGCTACTCCAGAGCCTGTCCTGTGTGACCTAAGCCGGAGACGTCTGCCATGTGCCTTACTTGTTCAAGTCCATTGAGCACCAGCAACCCTTCATCCCTGCTTGTGGGATGCAGCATTAGTAACTACTCACGGATGCTGCAGAATGTCTAGCCTGAATAGCCAGGGCTGTGAGCTGAGTAAACTCCCAGGTGATGGGCTATACCGCACCTGAGCCACGCCCACTGTGACTAGATCTAGCGTGAACAAGACTCCCACATCCTACCTCTGCCTGGTTCAATTTATGTATTTATTTATTTTGGAGAATCATTCTCTGTCACCCAGGCTGGAATGCAG